CGATATTCAACACAGACGAAATTATACCACGTTCAATTGTTAATTTCTCGATCACGGGTCGCTTTGCAAAGGCCAAATGACTCGGAGACACGTACAAGGTCATAACATTTACCAAGACATACAGCTTGTCATTGGATATCTCTAAAATTAACTTAGTACGGGGCAATTTAGGTGCACGATACATTATAGAGCGATTACGATAACACTTGCACAATCGAATAACCGCCAATATCAATAAGAATCCTGAACACATTAAAATCAGAATTAAAGTTTCATTTCGAAGTTGGATCATGGAACTCTTCAAATCTCACAAGGGATGGTTCATAATTAACTCGTCTACTGGCAAATGTAACGTTTTAGCCTGGGCCCTGGGAAGAGTTGCAATTGCATATACCGTTAAAGTCCTATTACAAGCCGCGGCTTCTATTACAATTATGCAAATTAAGCAGTGGAGTGAGAGCTGCAAGTTTGGGGTGCGGCTTCTATTACGTACTTTTGGAAAATCTCAAATGGGCGTGGTCATATTATCAGCGGTAAAAGTCTAAATTCCGAGTAAGACCGTCGATGCAATACCATCGAACGGAATTGCAATAAAAAGGAAAAAAAACACCCATTCACCCACTCGATCACGGACACAGACATGCATGTTTATTATACGGAATATCTCTTTTTGGAGGATGTGTGTGGCCCTGAAAAGGGCCGTTTGGTTTGGGTATTGTCCCGGTATTCAGTCTTCGTCGTCACTGTCATCGAATATATTCCCAATTTCTTCCGCAATGGCTTCAGTATCGTAGTCATCGTCGTCGTCCTCAGACTGAAGGTCGTCAAAAAGAAGGTCATCTTCCATGCCATCGAGATTGTTTGATATCCCAGGCTTCAGAAATGATCGCTGAATAGTGGTTTCAGACAATTTTTCCCAAGGCTTGGACACCCACTGAACCACCATTTCTCTCGATGGACACTTTCTTTTGCCAGTTGGGGTAAATTCAGCTTCCCCTTCTTTCATCCATAGGTCCCATAGATCATGCATGGTTTCTTTTATTGGCTTATTTATGCCGATATCGAGAGGCTGTAGAATGGACGTAAGACCTCCGGGAATTACAGCCACATCGATATTCCGCTCCCGGAGTGCAGCCTTCACATTGTCCGTGAGGTGAACTGTGCAGGAATCCCAAACCGATAACCTTCTGCTGTCGTCTTCCCGGTGAGGAAACGTTCGCCTGATATAATCTAAACATCCTACATGTAAACAAAATAAAAATAACGAAACTATCAAAAGAAAGCAAACATGTGATCGTGAAAAGCATTACACACATGCGCGTTGAACCTTTATGTATGACGTTGCAAAATTGTTAACAATAATGAATATTCATGTAATGGTTTCATGGCACCCCTTTTATATATTTCGTGCGTTTATAGAAATGTGAACATTGAAACCGTCTTGATTAAAATATTTCCCTGACTGGCCCCAAGGCAGACGACACCATAAATCAAATCATGGAGGTAAAAACGATAAAATAGTATTTACCTGGTTCGTCGATATAGCCTTTCTGGTGTACCCTGACTTGAACTGCATTTGTTGATAAATGGCTCTGGTCACGTTTTCCCTTAAAAATGATAACTGGCTTCAACTTTGTCCCATCGGCAGCAGCTGTGAGCACCACAGTGAAACCTTTTTTTCATTTCCCGTTGTTTTGATGTGCACGGTCTTTACGCCTGTGTGTTCAAGAGTTTTGTTTCCCGGCATATCAAAACGGAGCGGGGTCTCATCCATGTTGTAAATATCAGACAAAGGATATTGGTGTTGTTCTCTGAGTCTGATTACGAATCGGTGAAATAAAATAACCGTCTCTTCGAAATCTGGGGGTAGTTTCTGGCCAATCGATGTTCTCTGGTGAGTGGACAAAGAATGACGATGTTTGAAACTACGCAACCATCCATCTGAAGCTTTAAAATTTGCACTTGTAGAAACTCTCAATGCTTGTCGCTGCAACTGTTTTCCTGTCACTCCATTACCATTTGTTCGTTGACTTTCAAACCAGGACATTAAACTGTTATCAGCATCCTTGTCCTTGACTTGACGACCGCCACCAGCAAGACGCTTGGATGACTTCGCAGTCACTCCAAGTTGGTCTTTTTTCTTCAACCATTCCCGCACTTGTTTTTCATTTAGGCCGTAGTGGTCTGCAGTTTTCCGATTATTACCCCACTCAATGGCAGTGGAAATAACCTTCAACTTAAAGGAAACGTCATAAGCAGCACGGCGACGACTGGAGCGTGGTGTTGTTTCTTTTGGCATGTTGATAATATATAATAATTCGCAAGCGATAAATTTGGATGAGACAAGCTCGTAGTTCTCAGAAGAGATAGTGACTTTCCTATCGAAAAGTGTGTCATTTATTGGTTATTTTTGCATCTCATTATCACCAAGAATAATAGAAAATTATTGTTCGAATCCCGTAATAAAAGCTTTCAAATTTATAATTCACACGATCGGCAAAAGGGCATGTACAAGTACCGCCAGACAATTAGTGTGAACGCGTACGCGTGGCCCACTAAACGCGTGCCAGACTCCAGCGTACGACTTTCCGGTATTGTGTAATTGTTACAAAACAAAACTTCTGGTGTGAAAATCTTTATTCAGTCACTAATCCTGATGCACAGGAAATAAAACGAATGTCGTTTTAGCACAAGATTATTGATGACACAGCTGTTTTTTTTCCTTCACAATGCAGGACGTTCAAAGTTGGGGTGCGGCTTCTAATACGTAGTTTTCAGATTTCTAATTTTTTGCATTGACGCGTTCTTGCAAGCGTCAAAGTTAGGGGTGCGGCTTCTAATTGGGCTGCGGCTTATAATAGGACTTTAACGGTACTGACAAAATCAGCGACCTTGTGCATATAATAGCCAGAATGGTTTCAATTATAGTAATAGTTTTGACCTCCAAAAACGGTAAGGCAGGAGTTTCATCAATTGTGTCGCTAAATAATTTGTCCGCCATGGAATAATAAATTGGTTAGTTTTTCTTTAATAAATCTGCCGTTCTGTTTAAATCTACCACCAAACGTGCGTCAGAACGTACAATTTCCTCGAAATTTCCTCTGCTAATGGTGATGTTAGGGAGTTGTACTCGCCACGGGTTTTCATACATCGATTCTCCTGTAATTTCTGTCAAGTCATCTGGGTCATAAAAGGGTATTAAAAATGGCAAATTTACCGGATGCAGAAACGTGGGGGCCTCGTCTTCTGTGCAACTAGTTAACAATGGCGATATATAGAAATTGTCTGAATGTATAGCGCATCCACATGACAATTTAATTATACACATTGTACAACCTTCGATAGGCTCTGGGCTTTTATTTCCGCATGCTATTAACCATTTTGTATCATTGCTATTCACCAAAATATTCCCTTGTCCGATTTCGAGAATCTTAGGGTCGTATACTGGATTAAGTATTAAATCTATTTTACATGTGTTATGAATTTCCTCTTTATTATCATAGAACAGGCCTTCGTACACGACGACTTACGCATATTTATCATGGTAATTACAGAGGGACAATCCTTTACTGTCAGACCAGTACAAAACGAAATTTGGTCTGTACTCATTTCAATGTAGTAA